ATATCTATCGGCCAAATGTCCGTCGGCCAAATATCTGTCGGCCAAATGTCTCTCGGCCAAACGTCACTCGGCCAAATATGCCTCCGTCAAATGTCCATCGTCCGAATGTCCGTGGGCAAAATGTCCGTCAGACAAATGTCTCTCGGCTAAATGCCCGTCGGGCAAATGTCTCTCGGCCAAATGTCTCTCGGCTAAATGCCTGTCGGTCAAATGTCTCTCGGCCAAATGTTTCTCGGCCAAATGTCCGTCGGCCAAATATCTGTCGGCCAAATATCTGTCCGGCCACGTAATAAGTAAACATGTGGTCTTAATTCAGTTATATTAAATCTGCTCCATTTCCTAGTGTAATTTTGACACTGGCTGTGGCTGTGGAAGTACCAACCCGTACAAATATATAACAATAAGAAAGTTTGCTTATGAAAGAAAAACTGAAAAAAAAACGATTGATGGATACACTAAACCATTCCTAAAAAGAAAACTATCAACGGTGGTTCCGATGGACCACATGTTATCAACCCGGAAAGTGGATCAGTTACACACACCAGATGTAAGTCTAACACGTGAACTGTGACATTATTTCCATGTTATCAAATATACCCCATTCACCAGTGTAATTTCAACATGTATTATATAGGAATAAAGTGTCGCTGCCGACATTTGAGTTTGAACATAGATCGCCATTGAGCAAACACAGGCGATCCCATTATTGAATTAAGCAGATCACGTGACCATAGAGGAAACGCACAAGTAGAATGTAGCGTGACGTCTAATTGATCGCATTTCTATTCTATTCTCTACTATTCGGATCACTATCTCTGTTCTATCCTCTATTACTATTCGGATCTTCACTTCTATTCTCTCCTCTAGTATTATATGAAACGCTATTCTCTATTTAGATCACGATACGGTGGTTACTTTCGTGCAAGTAATATTAGTGCGAGTGATATTCGAAAGCGTTTGACACTAGCATGGTTTAACGGGGTTACTATAGTTGTATCTGTGATTACAAAGTTTCTACTACAACGAGCATTACGAAAGTGACAACAAATATTCGTTGGAATTATTAAATGGCAACGACTGTTTGTTGACATCACGAAAACATATAATCATGCAACTTTAATTTACACTGGTAAGGGGAGCAGATTTAGTGAAACAGTCATTACATCTGCTCCACTTACCAGTGTAATTCTAACACAGAAGTCGTGCAAATATCTGACAAGATGGGCTGAAGAAGAAAGTCCGAAGAAAACGTTTACTGATTTTTAATAATACTAATGATTGTTCTGATGGCCAAGAGGCTAGCAGGGCGGAAATTGAAATCTGCTCCATATACCAGTGTAATTTTAACATGTGAACTTTAAGAAAGCATCTTGGATAGCCGAAGAGAACTGCTGCGGAAGAAAAGGAGAAAAATAATTGATGCAAACATATAAAAATATGAAAATAACAAAGTATTACAGTAGAATTCCTTTTTATCCGGAATGCCTCAAATCCGGAGTCCCTCATATCCGGAATCTCGCATATCCGGAATCCCTCATATCCGGAATTTCGCATATCCTGAATCCCTCATATCCGGAATCTCGCATATCCTGAATTCCTCATATCCGGAATCTCGCATATATGGTGTGCCTCATATTTGATCATGATTTTGATGTGTAACTATTTGGGTGATATGTAACTTATTTGAAATTTCGTTTTTTTTTTTTTTTTAGGAAATTTACTTTGGATGTGGCCAAGCGTATCGCAAGACGCAAACATGGAATCGGGTAGATGTGTTCGAATTCGATTCGATAATCTGAATTAACTTTATATAGCGATTTACTAAGCGTAGCTTAGATGTGACACAAGGCCGATTGTGTTGAGCATCCAGTGGGAATCGAACTCACTACTCAGTCGTAATCGATCTCGCAAGTTAAGCTTGCTAACCTTTAAACCAGGTCGAATTGCTCTAAGCCTATCTTAGATGTGGCACAAGGCCGAAATTATGGTTCACCTAGTGAGGATCGAACTTACTATTCACTCGTAATTGACCTAGCGAGACAAGCTTGCTGACCATTACACCACGTCAAGATGCCCTAATTATTTTCTAAGCGTATTTTAGGGGTGGTACAAGGCCGAAATTATCGGACACCTAGTGATGATCGAACTCCCTTTTCAGTCGTAATTGATCTCGCAAGAAAAGCTTGCTAAAATTTACACCGCATCAAAGCACCGTAATAATTTTCTAAGCATTTTTTAGGTGTGGCACAAGGCCGAAATTATGGGGCACCTAGTGCGGATCGAACTCACTATTCAGTCATAATTCATCTATCCAGACAAGCTTTCTATCTATTACACCGCGTTGAAGTTTCTATTCACTTCGTATGGATAGAAAAACTGAATCATTTGATATACGCAGGCACATCAGTAAATCCGTGGACTTATGATAAATAAAAAAAAAATTTATTTGACACAAGATTTTAATGTAATCCTTTTTTTTTTTTTTGTCAATGCACTTAACCTAAAGCATTGCCATTCAAATAATAAAATATTTGTTTTGATAAATTTTAGTCATATCCTTTCCTTTATATTCAACGCAATGAATAAGCCGCTAGGAAATGGCGTCATCGTCACGTCAAAACACGATTTAAAATGATAAACAATCATTTTAAGACATTTTTTATGTTTATACGTTCTTTTTATAGATACAATATAAGTAAATTTGTAAGTAACTGGTAAGTAAATGCTCTGTTCATATTAAACAATATTGACCAGACTGAATGTCCGAGAAATTGTCATAGAAAATATGCGTCCTCCGACAGGAATCGAACCTGTATCCTAAACGGAACCGCCATATAACCTGACGTGCTTTTACCGATTGGGCCACAGAGGAGCGTTTTGGTTCGCTAGGTCGATTTTACTGTTTTTAAACTAAAATGATTTTCTCTCGTAGATTCATATTTGTTCGATGCGTATCCAAATGAAAACAAATGACGTCACACATTATGAAATGGACAAAGTCCGACAATTATTTTAAGACATTTTTTATGTTTATACGTTCTTTCTATAGATAAAAATATTTAAGAAAATGCTCTGTTTTATAATAAACAGTATAAACTACATTTACCGGCCTGATATGAATCTACGAGAGAAAATCATGGAGAATTGTAGTTTAAAAACAGTAAAATCGACCTCGCTAATCGAAACGCTCCTCTGTGACGAAATCGGTAAAAGCCCGGCTCCGTAGAGGATACAGGTTCGATTCCTGTCGGAGGACGCATATTTACGAAAATTTCTCGGAATTTCAGGTAAATGTTGTTAATACTGTTTATTATAAACAGAGCATTTACTTAAATATTTGTATCTATAAAAAGAATGTATAAATATAAAATTGTCTTAAAATAATTGTCGGACTTTGTCCATTTGATAATGTGTGACGTCATAAACAATCATGTTTAAAAGCGCTATTTTTACACATAATAGGATCAAACATACGCTGCCTCGTCTCAGTCCCGAAAAACTCATGCTCATTGATCGCGCATACGCGTGTGACAATATGTAGCCCCCGTGTTCTGTGGTGAAACAAATGGTGTTTCTGACGCTGCTGGCCACGGCCCGAATGGTGATTTGGACGACGCAACAGGAGGAAGTCTTGCGAGCCAACCGTCTTTCTCATCAGGATCTGATCCGATTCTTTGAGCATCAGCTCAAGATGAAGATTAAAACTGATAGAAAACGCTTGCATTAGACAGCCTTCAGCGAAAGGTGGGTGATTGAGGCGAGCTTGGTTTCGTTTGAACGGGGCTAGCCTTGATTTCTCTTTAGGTCAACCTACGGCACATCGGGGTGGTTTCCTGGGAGCCCTCCCTTGGTGAGGTTAGACAAGCTTTTTGTGTACCTAGTTAATGTGAGGTTGTTCCTGGTCTGTTCCCGGCTGCATCTTTGGTTCCTTCCCAACCTCCCAGGTTTTGGCCCCCTTTATCTCGACTGGGTCAGCTTTTTTCTTTCCCATGTCCGTATATATTTTCTCTTTTTCCACTCTTAGTGAGAGAGCCTCTGATTGTGTCCAATGGGCAGAATACAGCGGCTTCTCTCCTTGAGGGTTGGACGGGCCCTAATAACATCAGTTATGTTTAGTTCACTTTGTGTTCATGTTTAGTTTGTTATTGGGTTCATCTCCCTTCCTCTCATTTCATCTTTAGAATTAAATATATATAGTTTATTATCATTAAAATTTTATGTCATGGGGCGCGTTTCGTAGGTTCCCCTTCAGAGGATGTGGCATTGTGGTATATGGAGGATTGATTGGTGATGGACGAGTTCTTGTGGTGAATGGGTCGTGAATCGGTTTAGCTAGGTATAAGATAGTTAGTGAAGGCCAGCTTCAACCCCTCCCGTTTCTTCGGCCTTGTGCCATAATTTTATTTTTATGCAATAAATATCCATACGTTGCCTCATACAAAAACAACAGAAATTCTAAATAGAAAAACAAATAATCAAAGTCTTGTCCGCGTTATTTGTTGATAACAGTTTAAACCTAATAATTTGAAGAAAGGTCTGTAATGCAATCAGTCAAGTTAAGTTGCTTCCCTCTGTCTTTTCTACAAATATTTTCATGGCAATTGTTCTGATGAGCTTTCCTCTCTAAATTTCCGTAAATTTTAATGCCTCCCCCAAAAAATGCTCTTATTTAACCACCATAGAGAGATTTTCCTGCCCGCCATCAACATGGCTGATCCTAGACTCATAGAGAACAACACACTCCGCCTTCTTGGTCTCATGTTCTCAACTCACTTGAAGTGGAACGACTACATCGAATCAATAGCTGCATCTACTGCAAGGAAAGTTGGGTCACTGTGCCGTGCCAGAAGGTTTTTCTCCTCATAGTGCAACTTGCATATTTAAAAATCTACCATTCGTCCGTACATTAAATACTATTGTCATATCTGGTCAGGTGCTCCTGCTAATTCAGCTCGAACCCTGCGTATTTGTGGAATTCCCGCTTGCTTAGGATTAAATCATTAAAAAAGTAGAAAAACGATAGATAGACAGATAGATAGATCTGAACAGAGATAGATAGATATGAATAGAATAAGATAGATAGATCTGAACAGACTGAAACAGAGAGAGTGGGATGAAGATAGATAGATAGATAGATAGATAGATAGATAGATAGATAGATAGATAGATAAACAGACAGACCTGAGCAGACTGAAAAAGAGAGAGGGTGATGAAGATAGATAGATAGATAGATAGATAGATAGATAGATAGATATGAACAGACTGAATGAGTTAGAATATATGATATATATAAATATACTGATAGATAGATAGATAGATAGATAGATAGATAGATAGATAGATAGATAGATCCGTACATTGAAAACGTTGCCATATCTGGTCAGGTGCCTCTGCTATTCATCTCGAGGTTCTTGACAAAATTCAAAGAATTATCTGCAATGTAATCGATCCTGACCTGGCATCTCGACTTCCGTCACTTTCTCACCGACGTGAAGTGGCTTCCCTCTGTCTTTTCTACAATTTTTTACATGGCTGCTGCTCTGACGAGCTTTTTCTCTGGTGCCCGGTTTATGTGAGTTTAAGCGTGCAGCTAGATTGGCATCTAGGTCCCACCCTTTTACTGTTGAAATAAATGTAACCACCACTTCTACTCCAACAGTTTCTTTACTCGCCCTTCCCGCCTGTGGAACTCCCTTCCGTTTCCTTGCTTCCCTGATGACTACAATGTTCAAAAATTTAAATGCAACGTAAATCGCCATTTTCTATCTTTTCGAACCCCGTTCAGCTTTTATCCTTTCCTTCGGTAATCCATATACCCAGTCTCTTTCCTTCGCTCTCCGTAAAGCCCTGCGTACTAGTGGCATTCCCGCCTTGCTTGGGATTAAATGATTAAAAAATAGGAAAACTATAGATAGATAGATAGATAGATAGATAGATAGATCTGAATAGACTGAAATAGAGAGAGTGTAATGGAGATAGATAGATAGATAGATAGATAGATCTGAACAGACTCATATGGATAGAGAGAGTGTGATGAAAGTAGATAGATAGATAGATAGATAGATAGATAGACAGACCTAAGCAGACTGAAAAAGAGAGTGGATGATGAAGGTAGATAGATAGATAGATAGATATGAACAGACTGAAAAATTTAGAATATATGATAGATAGATAGATAGATAGATAGATAGATAGATAGATAGATTCGTCCGTACATTGAATTCTGTTGCCATATCTGGTCTGGTTTCCAGCTATTCATCTCGAGGTTCTTGACAAAATCCAAAGAAGGATCCTAACCTGGCATCTCGACTTTAGTCACTTTCTCACCGACGTGGGGTGGCTCCCCTCTGTCTTTTCTACAAATCCTTTTCATGGCAACTGTTCTGATACGCTCTTATTTCCTCGACTGACAAAAATTTAATCGTGCTTCTAGATTGACAACAAGGTCTCATCCGCCCCTTCAACGTCAACAGTTTTTTTTCACGCCTTTGGAACTCCCTTCAGATTTCTTGCTTCCCTGATAACTACGATATCCAAAAAATTATATGCAACGTCAAACTCCATTTTCTGTTTTTTTTTTTTTTTTTTTTTCATTTCCACAATCCTCCACATTAATGCCTTTCTCTCTAACACAACGAATAAAAAAATCGCCGTCCCATTTTTGGGATGGTAGATATTAATAGGCTATAGGTAGAAACTTTGATTAAAACCGGGTTTTTTTTTTTGTTTCCTCTCCCGCACTCCGAGTAGGGCCTTCTGTAGCATGTCCGTCAGGCGCAGCACCCCCCTTCATCCGTTGGTTGAAGCGTTGAGATCTGTTGTGATTGTCATACACTTGTTCCACCTTTAGGGTTGGTCACGCTTCGTCTGGGTCTTCGACCTTGTCGCCAAGGGTGGCCCTACCGAAGGTATAGCTCTCAGAGTCCTATATTCCTGATATAATAACACCTTAATTCAATAACGAAACAGAATATCTGAAAGAAAAGTAATGACTTTGTTTTCAGAAAGAGTTCTATGCCGCTAAGTCATACACAAAATTATAGATACATACTTATATGAGGCCAACACTGAGAAACTATAACAAAAGTCTACAATAACAAGCAGTGTAACAAGTTAAAATTATATTAATGTGTGTTTAACAAGACGAATGCGCGCGAAACATGATTAACCAATGAAAATCAAACAAGAAAGAAGTGAAAAATACCATGACTTCGTTCTTTTTCTTCATATGTCATTCTTTGATGAAGCTATAATAAAAGTGAAACATGTTAGAGAGATACACGTTTTTTATTTGTTTTTATCGTGTCGTCCTGTCGGATTCCGATCTATATTTGATCTGTATTTAATCCGAATTCTTACATATATATATATATATATATATATATATATATATATATATATATATATATATATATATATATATATATATATATATATATATATATATGCGGGCGATGCCCAGCTCCTCAGATTACGTTATCAGTGACGTGAAATCGTGATGCAATCAAAAAGAAACTCTTGTATTTCTTAAGGAATAAAAAGCTGGTTGTTTGTCTTTTGTCGCTTCAATGGTAAGCCGACACCAGGCACACGAAAATATGCGTGGCTCTTTCATTATGAATCAGCAGATAAGCGGAAAGCGACAAGAACTCGAGCGGAAGGAATAAATCAAGTATCCATTGACTAACAACAAAAAGCCGGTCTAGAGAAAATTTCCTCATTACAAGATATCGATGATTTTGTCAGCCATATTGTTTGTTTGACACTTCGAGACCCAGGTTTGTAGCTGTTCCCCGCCCTAGATGTTCTTCTGATAACCGGTTGGCTTTTGTTGAAAAGAAGAAAAAAAAAAGGTCGGGGGCGATTTTTGCTTTTTTTTGTGTGTGTGTGTCTTTATTGCTCAAGAAAAAAAAAACTAGATCGAAAATGTCATTGGTAATTACCAATCTTTATTTCTTAATTCGGAAGCGATTCATATTAAGCGAATTTTTTTAGACAAATGATCATATTAAAAACTTTCAGAGTTCGAGATCTGTTTCAAAAATAGACAAAAAATTAATATTAACATAAAATATAACCTACCTAGAGTATCGGCCTATATTTCTGAGATGAGGTATTATGTACACTATTTACATTATTCGGACTATTGTCCTCATCTTTGTTGACATATTTATTACAACGTTTCGGCCTTTCAGTATCTGTCTATATTTCTGAGATGAGGTATTATGTACACTAATTAAATTATTCGGATTATATTATGTACACTATTTACATTAGGCAAATCAGTTAGTGAATCAGACTCGATAGAGCACCACTCGATCGACTCGACTGAGCGGATTTGTGATAGTAGTCGTGGCTCGTAGAGGCACAGTCCTGTGGGTAAAATAGAAGCTCGGATGAGTTCCACCACGGAATGTGTGATCGTCATTGCTAACATGTTTGGCCCATCGTTTTCTTAAGCATCAGTTTTGTAGGGCCACATTTCTGTTGCTTTGAGTCGCTTCTTCATCTTTGAGGAGATTGTCCAGCATTCACTGCCATAGAGAAGAAAAGTTCTGTACTCCTTTCTTTGTTTCTAGCGAATTTTTTTTTCTGATTCTTAATACTCTGCTAATCAATCAAAAATTTTGACATAAATCTTTCATCTTTACACAGTGGACACATGGTCTTTTATTTCGATATATTTTGTTGCTATTTTTATCATGTTTCTATCTTGATGCAATTTTATATCGTGCTTATATTTTGTTGCTGTTCTTATATAATACTTCTATTTTGTTACTATCTTTATATCATGCTTATGTTTTTATATAATGCCTATATACTGTTGCTTTTTTATCATGTTTATATTTTGTTGCTTTTTTATATTTAGCTTATATTTTGTTGCTATTTTTATATCACGTTTATATTTTGTTTCTGTTCACATATTATGCTTATATGTTTTTACTTTTTATATCATGTTTCTATTTTGTTGCTATTTTTATATCAAGCTTATATTTTGTTGCTATTTTTATATCATGCTTCCGTTTTCTTAGTGTTTTTATATAATGCTTATATGTCGATGCTTTTTATATCATGATTATATTTTATTGCTATTTTTATATCATGCTTATATTTTGTTGCTATTTTTATATCATGCTTATATTTTGTTGCTATTTTTATATCATGCTTATATTTTGTTTCTGTTTATATATAATGCTTATATGTTTTTGCTTTTTATATCATGCTTATAGTTTGTTGCTATTTTTATATCAAGTTTCTATTTTGATGCTATTTTTATATCATGATTCTATTTTGTTGCTATTTTTGTATCATGCTTACGTTTTCTTAGTGTTTTTATAAAATGCTGAAATATTGTTGCTTTTTTTTATCATGCTTATATTTTGTTGCTATTTTATATCAAGCTTATATTTCCCTGCTATTTTTATAGAATACATCTGTTTTGTTGCTATTTTTATATCTTGCTTATATTTTGCTGTTGTTTTTATATAATGTTTATACGCTGTTGTTTTTTTAAAGCATGCTGATATTTTGTTGCTATTTTTACATCAAGCTTATATTTTGTTGCTATTTTTGTATAATGCTTCTGTTTAGAAACTCGGTTTTAAGAAATTTATAAATTTCACAAACCTCGTAAGACCAAAACTATAGATCGTTGGTGCATCACGGTCTTCTACAAGCATTTAAATCAAGTTTTGAAGCATTTAAATTCATTTAAAAACATTTTGATAATTTTTCGTAATATATCTTTTTCTTTTAATCGAATTCACCCCAAACAAGGCATTATAGCCGCTAGGACACAATAGGAATGGTAATTTCGGATAAAGGGTACTCAAATTGTAAGAATTTGTATAATACTTTCCCCCGATCAATGATAGATATCTCCATTGAGAAGATAGCATCTGAGAGAACGATTAACACATTTTTATTTTTAAGGCACTTTCTCATGGAGATAATACAATCGTCACGAGATGGCCAAACCAGGTGCTCCTTGGTCAGCATCGTAAAGAGCGTTAACATAATAAGTAGACGGCACCACTTTTGACGTGAGATCGAACTTCATTGGCTGCCTCAGAGTTTTGACCCTGTTCCAGTCTAAGTTAATTTTGTATTGTAATATCCATGCATAATACGCACATTTTCTCCAAATTTTTATACTTAAAAACAGTTGTGCGTATTATACTCGAGATTTTATATCAGCAGGGTATAGAGTATATTCTCCCCGCTAAGTAATATATATATATATATATATATATATATATATATATATATATATATATATATATATATATACAGACACATGTATGACATTACTTTCCGTGCACCGAACTATTCCATTGTGATCTATCTATCTATCTATCTATCTATCTATCTATCTATCTATCTATCTATCTCAACCTGTTCATTATCTATCTATATATCTCAACCTGTTCATTATCTATCTATCTATCTATCTATCTATCTATCTATCTATCTATCTATCTCGACCTGTTCATTATCTATCTATCTATCTATCTGTCTGTCTATCTCAACCTATTTTGTATTGTAATTATTCACGTATAATACGCACATTTCTTGTTGAAGGAATCTTCTTTAAGAATTCTTAATTCTATATTGATCGATTAAATTTTAAAGCTTCGCGACGATGAATGTTTTTAATTGTGATTTGATTAAACGGGATTCTTACTGGTCTAAGCCGTTTACTTATGGAGGTGGGTGTAGAACATCTCTTAAGTTTATTTACGCATCGACGAATGAAGATTTAGGCGCAAAGGTCCTGATTTAGTAATTTATTTGTTGCTATGACAACACATCTTTATTGTAATGATGACATCCCAGTTGAAAACTAATTCTTTCGTTTTATACTAAAGGAATGTCGTTGAAGAATTCTAATAACGCTGAATTGATTGCTTATCTTTAAAAGCTTCGCAACGAACAATGTTTTTCTTTGTGATTTGATTAAACAGGGATTCTTAAAGGTCTAAGCCGTTTTGGAAGATTTACGCGCAAAGGTCCTGATGTTAGCAAACTAAACGATGTCGTTCTTTAGAATAACAATGCCCAGTGTGAAATAATCTGTGGAGATTATTTTTACGTTTGGATATTTGATGATATCTGCCTGTGTCAAGCGGTTGAGTACATTAAGGTTTTCCATTTAATCAGTTCAATGAAACACCTTCTTCGTGACAAAAGCTTTAAAAGTAGGCAGGGGAATAATTCAATATTATTGGGGTTTTGTTCGTGTAGAATGCAGCATTGCAAGGATCAAAGACAGCATCAATATCCACAAGATTTATCAAACGTTCATTTGTTTCAAGGATCTTTTCCGTCTCAGACTGTCCATATCGATCTATCTATCGAATTCAGTCTGTTCAGATCTATCTATCTATCTATCTATCTATCTATCTATCTATCTATCTATCTATCTCAGTTTATCCATATCTATCTATCTCAGTCTATTCATTATCTATCTATCTATCTCAGTTTATCCATATCTATCTATCTCAGTTTATTCATATCTATCTATCTATCTATCTATCTATCTATCTATCTATCTATCTATCTCAGTTTATCCATATCTATCTCAGTTTATTCATATCTATCTATCTATCTATCTATCTATCTATCTATCTATCTATCTATCTATCTATCTATCTCAGTCTATTCATATCTGTCTGTCTGTCTATCTATCTAACTATCGAATTCAGTCTGTTCATATCTATCTATCTATCTATCTATCTATCTATCTATGTATGTATGTAACTATCTAAGTCTGTTCATATCTATCTATATATCTATCTATCTATCTATTTGTGTAATTCAGTCTGTTCATATCTATCTATCTCAGTCTATCTATGTATGTATCTATCTAAGTCTGTTTCTATCTATCTATCTATCTATCTATCTATCTATCTCAGTCTATTCATATCTATCTATCTATCTATCTATCTATCTATCTATCTCAGTCTGTTTTTACTTATCTATCTAGCAATTTATCTAAATCAGTTCTCAAAGAATCTGCAAACCCATATTTGTAAGGAAACGAACCCAAAAGAAGCCCGAATCAAACGACGCGATACTATAGAATTCGCCTTTAAACTGTTCATTGAATTTCTAGTAATGACAAAATCTCACTATTTACATTATTCGAACTATTCGAGCTCATCTTTGTCGCCATATTTATCACAACGTTTAGAGGAGAACATGACTAAAGACTGTGTGTACGCTATCATATGGAAAGAAAGGTAAGGCTTCAAGAATACCAAAAAGCTGTAACACGAGGAGAAGTGTAAAATTTAGGCGTGGCTGACCACATGTGGAGAGAAAAGGGAGATCACCGCCCTCTGTGGGATCAGGTTGATATCATAGGCAAAGACTTAAGGAATCAGCACATATGCTAGGCCACAAAAATCTCCTGAGCCGACCAAGCATAGAAATGAATACAATATGGGAACCAGTAATAAAGAGTGCCAGAGAAAAGCAATAATAACAACAAAAATTGCAATATGAGCACCGGTAAATAATGTTGTTGAAGACATTAAGTTTATCATAACAAAAAATTCATACACAGATTTCCTCAGATGGCACAGTGGATAAAGGCGTTACTTACATCCAGTGACAGGACCCAAAGAGTGTGAGTTCAATACCTGGTTAAGGGAGTGGAGAACATTCAGGGGTGGGGAATTAACACGTGATAACTGACATCCATTAGACATGGCACGAGGAACTAGAAGAGTCTACCCCAGTGAGTGAAATAATGGGTTCAGTTCGACATTACAACCACCTGAAGAAGGCCGGAGCGTACAACGCCCGAAATAATGTAAATAGTGTACATAATACATTATCTCAGAAATATAGACAGATACTGAAAGGCCGAAACGTTGTAATAAATATGGCGACAAAGATGAGGACAATATTCCGAATAATGTAAATAGTGTACATAATACATCATCTCAGAAATATAGACAGATACTGAAAGGCCGAAACGTTGTAATAAATAAGGCGACAAAGATGATGACAATAGTTCGAATAATGTAAATAGTGTACATAATACCTCATCTCAGATATATAGACAGATACTGAAAGGCCGAAACGTTGTAATAAATATGGCGACAAAGATGAGGACAATAGTCCGAATAATGTAAGTAGTGTACATAATACCTCATCTCAGAAATATAGACAGATACTGAAAGGCCGAAACGTTGTAATAAATATGGCGACAAAGATGGGGATGATAGTCAGAATAATGTAAATAGTGTACATAATACCTCGTCTCAGAAATATAGACAGATACTGAAAGGCCGAAACGTTGTAATAAATATGGTGACAAATATGTGGACAATAGTCCGAATAATGTAAATAGTGATAAACTTACAGATATGTAAGATAGATTCTGGATAGAAAAAATTCTAGCATGACACAGTGAACCAATTTTCCTAGCAGTTGACTAGCAATTGATTCAATATAGTCTTTCCACGTCATGTCACCCAAGAACGTTAGCCTGAAAAGGCGTAATAAGTCACTCTCTTGCGGGTTAACATCAGCCATGCTGATAGAAAGCAGAGTGGGGGATAAATGGAAAGCAAATCAGTTTTTGAGGCGTTAAAATTAACAAGCCATTCTTTGCCCCAGGTAACAACAGACAGAAGATCGTTTTTGGACATCAGAGTTTTGAGATTTGATTCCATCAGGAAGGCCATTAATGAAAATTCAAAACGAAATAGTACCAAACCAGGAGCCCTGAATGTCACCTGCATAATTAAAAGCTATATATTATCACACAGATACACACTCATATATATATATATATATATATATATATATATATATATAGGATAGGATAGGATAGGAGGGACTATATATATATATATATATATATATATATATATATATATGTAGGATAGGAGGACTATATATATATATATATATATATATATATATATTTGAATAAAAAGACAGACCACGTTAAGATTCCATGTAATAAGCAATTTCCCATAACCCCTTTAACAGTGTTCTGGATCATCAGACTTTACTTGCTGTTAAAGGGGTTATGGTGAAATAGCTTATTACATGGAATCTTAACGTGGTCTGTCTTTTATTCAAACATATCTGCTCTGAATTTTACATTGAGCTCTCTGGATATCATCCTCCTCAGATCTACCCATACGGATTACCTAAATTTATATAAACTATATATATATATATATATATATATATATATGTGTGTGTGTGTGTGTGTGTGTGTGTGTGTGTGTGTGTGTGTGTGTGTGTGTGTGAGGATAGAGACACTGCAGATTAATGGATAGCGGCTTGGATTGAGGAATCGGAGAGCCGAGTTCCAATTCCAGTCGAATCCATTATATTCACTTACGTGCTAATACCCTTGTAAAAAAATATTAATCCTCTTCTTCTCCCTCCAGCTATGGGTAAAATAGCAGAACAGACTGGGTTCTATAGCCTTGGATGGCAACTGGTCTCGGAGAAGAACAACTCTGGATTCAAAACCTGCGGAGGGTTCTTTTGGGGACCTTCTGGCACGTAGTGCACCAGGTCTCTGTATTCAGCCCTTCAAAAAGTGTGATTGGTACTGCAGAAAACCTTCACCACTATAATCAAATCTCATGTGCTGGTGTCTGACTGTCGGTTCCTGGTAACTGAGCTTCTTGATCCTCATACGTCGAATACGACGGGAGAGAAGAGACTTGAAGCAATAGAAACAAAGAAAAGAGTACTGAACTGTTACGTAATATCAGTCCTCCTATATGGCAGTGAATGCTGGACAATCTCCTCACAGAGGAAGAAGAGACTTGAAGCAACAGAAACAAAGAAAGTTTACTGAACTGTTATGCAATATCAATCTTTCTACACAATTTACATTATTCGAACTATTGTCCTCATTTTTGTCAACATATTTATTACCTCTGGGACACATGGCCCAGTGGATAAAGGCGTTTGTTAGATCCAGTGACAGGACCCAAAGAGTATGAGTTCAATACCCAGTTAAGCCAGTGGAGAACTTTCAGAGGGAAATTAACAGGAGATAACTGATAACTGACAACCATAAAAACATGGCACGTAGAACTCTACTCCAGTGAGAGAAATAAAGGGTTCAGTTCAACATTCCAACTAATTGAAGAAGGCCGGAGCGTACAACGGCCGAAACGTTGTAATAAATATGGCGACAAAAATGAGGACAATAGTTCGAATAATGTAAATAATGTACATAACATCTCATCTCAGAAATATAGAAAATCAATCTTTCTATATGGCAGTGAATGGTGGACAATCTCCGTACAGATGAAGAAGAGACTTAAAGCATTACAAAGAAAAGAGTGCTGACGTCATTATGTAATATCAGTTCTCCTGTATAGCAGCGAATTCCATCGCAGATGATGAAGAGGCTTGAAGGAAACAGAAATGTAGTTCTACAGAAGGATACTGAGAATATCATGGAAAGACTTTGTGAACAATGATGAAGTTCTAGGAAAATTGCAACGAAAATGACACCAAGAAGAGCCAGTTGAGATTCCTCGTGCACATATATGGAAAGAAGGCTTGGAAAGTTTGATACTCGCAGGGCAGATTGAAGGTAAGTGAGACGAAGTAAATCAATGCTAACACGCCCTCGAGCAGCCTCTTATTTTTGAGGATTTCTATGAATATATATGTGCAGGTAATACCTTATTTTTAACGTAAACTAGCAGCATAGGCTGGCGTTGCCCGTGCTTGATTCAAAAATCGTACGACTCATACAGCAATCGCTATCACTTGACTTAAAATATTTTTGCCCTTCCTTGCCTTTAAAGGAGTGACCTTTACCGTGCTGATGTTGCTACATGCCTTACTTCTTGCCTATCTCACACTGCGAATTTTTTCTAAGCTCTATACTAAACATTAAATCTGTTACGAAAAAAAGAACTAAACAAAATGAACACAAAACGATCAGCTTTAAAAAAGGACTCGTAACTGGAAAAACCGAATGAAAAAAAAGTGTTAACAACAAATACTTTTTCACACCCAACCCAATTCTGCGGAATCAGAATCAACGTTGAGTTTAAGCAAGCGAATGAGCCAATTGGAGTAAAGTGCCATGCAGATTTAAATTTTTCCCACTTGTGACGAATGCAACTATCGATTTTTTTTGCATGCTAGCATGCTAGTTGACATTCGTGTCAGTCAGGTGTTGGCTCTCACGCTGGCCAACAGAATCTTCCTGCCTATTCGTGGCTCTCACTCTGGCTAGTAGAAAATAGCCGCAAACTACATGAAAAGTGCCGTAGAAGCATGAAAAAATCGATTATTTCCACTATCGATGGGAGTTGGGAAATGCAAAGTCGGTCTTGGCCTTCCTGCTAACTTGGAGCATGTGCCTGTAAATTTTGGTGCAAATCCCTCGAAAATTGGGGCTGTACATTCGTTACACACACACACACACACACACACACACACACACACACACACACACACACACACACACAGACATATCCTGCTTTTTATTGATATAGATATGGTTAAATCTTTTGCTAGAGTGATTTTTCTGCCTGGTATGTAGGTAGATGTGATCATTGTTATATTATTGGGGTATTTGGCGTTTATTTCCCCCAAAATTTATTCAAACTGAATAATACATCTTACTTATTATAAAACGCAGATTGTGTGTGTGTGTCTGTACGTTTATATATTGGATCGGATTTCCTACATTTTTCAACCGATTTCAACAAAACTTCACAGTACTGCGTAAAATTACCTTGTGGTGGTTCTAACAGCGCCAAAAATTGGAAAAACACAATTGTTTTTGCACGACATCAATTTGAAAACACGATAAAGCACGATTCTGTCACCAGAATGAAAGGGGAACAACTCATATCGAGTTATTAAAACCCAGGTTGTGTGTGTGTGTGTGTGTGTGTGTGTGTGTGTGTGTTTTATATATGGGATCAGATTTCCTACATTTTTCAACCGATTTCAACAAAACTTCACTTTTTTTTT